AATTACAAATGCTGCAGGTCATCTCAATCCCTGATCTAGTCAATGAGCATGTCTTCTTTAGATTCTCAAGTGGGTGTTTGATTCTGTTCTTCCTGGGCCTTCCAGGGCCAATATTGATTGGACGGGGATCCAAATTGCAGGGCACCCTTGGCCAATACCTTTCTCCTTCCAATGGTGGTATTGAGCCACTGTAAGCCTTCACATAAGTCTCCACCTTGTAGCACACATCAACATAATCCTCTGCTACCTTGTTCTGAAAGTAAATACAAGCTATGGCATGGCAGCAAGGAATGCCAACCATATTCCACTTCCTACAACTACAAGTCTTAGCCACTAAGTCTACATTCACTTGATCTAGGATATGTCTGACATTAAACAAGCTATCTGAAGATGGCATTACAGTACAGTATGCTGCCTTCTCCTTTTCTTTGTCTAACCTATATTGTATCCTAGGGCATAAGATAGAACTCCACTTCCCCATTTCTTTTCTTTTCCTCACTAACCTTTGCATTAATGCAACCCTAATATCCTCTAACATGAAGATTAGGTGCCTAGTCCTAGCATTAATTATGTAAGCATTGAATGTTTCTGCCATATTGTTAGTTATGGCATCAGTTTCAATAGATGGATCTAGGTGTGCTCTACAGAAGACATTAGGATTGTACCTCTTAAATGCCAAGGCAGCCTCTGCATTCATTTCACTTAACTCATCCAATGCTTCATTGTAATCTGCCAAGTTGTAGCACTTGGCTATCTTTCAAAATTGCATCTTCATCTCATCTCCTTTGTATGTCCTGTGCCAATGGGCAAAGATATGCCTGGCATAGTGTCTGTGTTCAGCTTTTGGAAGCACAGAAGCAACAACATTCAATATAGCCTACACCCAACATACAACAACACAAATAGACTATTGGATCAACACATGCATTAACAAGTGAATAAAGGCAGGACTGTAGATGCATTAACAAGTGAGTAATGGAGAATGGACACATTTATACCTGGTGCTCATCTGAAATTATAGCAATCCCACTTCCATCTCCCAAATCAAGGCAGGACTGTAGATGGGTAAAGAACCATACCCATGACAGGTTGTTCTCTCCCTCAACAACAGCCCAACAGATTGGGTACATTTGCTCATTTGGATCCCTAGACACTGCTGTCATAATCTGACCCCCAAGGAATGTCTTCAGAAATGCAGCATCTACACAAATCACTCTTCTACAAGCCATCTTCCAACCCTCTTTGACTCCATCAAAACAAGTGAAAAACCTCTTGAAGACTGGGGTTGATGTGTTAGGTTGTGGATCAACAACCAACTCAACTACAGTTTATGGGCTAGCTTCCTGAATTGCCTTGAAGTACCTCTCAACTTTCATATAATGCTTTTTCATTGATCCATGTAACATCCTATGAGCATGATATTTGACCTTGTATGCAAAATTTCTAGTCACAATTACCTTGTAGCCTCTTCTTATTGTTTCCACTATCTCCTTAACTGGCCAATGTGGCCTTGCTTTGAACAACTCAAGAAGTTTCTTTGCCACCCAAGTGCTCTTCAGTTGTCTGTTCTTGTTCATGTTTCTAAGACATGTGTGGCTATCTACAACACTCTTCACCAACCAAGTTGCATCTCTGGAATGCATAGAACAGTATAGATATAAAGGGTAGTTTCCAACACATTTAACTCCCAATTTTTGCTTGTCTCTGTTTCTTATGACATACCTAAGATCTCTCCCTTGCATGACTGCATATTTGCTAACAACCTCCTTGAAATCAGCTCTGTTTGCATACCTTAGACCCACTTTCCAGTTGAACTTTGTGAAGTCAGTGTCTCCCTTCACTAAGACACCCTTTTGAGCCTTGGTAACTCCCTCTAATTCATCCTCACTTGCAGTTGGTGTATGAATATCATCATCACTCGCTCATTATCAATGCATACACCACCTTGCTGGGTTGTAGTTGCACCAGATGTCTGATCTTCCTTCTCTAGTTGGTTTTCACCAAGCTTCCCCTGACAAACTTCTTTCTGCAGCTACAAAGCTATTTCAATTACCTTTGAATTGAAATTCTTCACTCTAGCCCTAGCTTCAATGACCTCATCATAACTGACATCAGACTCAGGGTCAATAAAATCAGTACCCTCAAGCTCTGCAACCTCCTCAAATTCTAGATCTATGTCATCTAGACTGAAATCACCAGCCTACTCAGTGTCTTAATCACCATCTACCTCATATTCATCATCAATTTCATCCTCCTCAAACTCACCCCCCTCACAAAACTTCTTGTATTCTGGGTCTGGTTCATAAGTTGGATCACTGTCATCACTGAATACATCATCATCACCTATAAGCTCTCTCCACCTCAAAGGGCTATCTCCCCTGCTGTCCACCCAATCATAATCAAGAAAGGTTGTGTTAACACTAGGCAGCTCAGCAGTGGATACAAATTCACAACTTGGAAATTGAGAAAGGTTTGGAAAGGGGTTTTTTAGTTTCTTTATCTAAATCTGGAACTACAGAAGGAGGTTTGCTGGGGGAAGCTGCTTGTTTTTCTTTCAGATTTGGTTTCAAGGGTGGAACTGAGGTTGTTGGGGCAGTCAACTGTTGGTAAGATAGAGAATAGGGTGCTCTAATAGATTCTTTTTGTGATGATGTGGCAGCATCTTTTTGTCTCCTAGGGCTTATCCTAATAGGTGTGGCCAACTTTGTTTGTGGTCCCTTCTTTGGGGTCATTTTTTTTCTCTTGTTTGCTTTGGTTGTGGGATTCTCAACATCTTTGACTGTTGTTTGGGATTTAGGTGAAGATTCTGCCCTATTGCCAACAATAACTCCCTCCTCACTTTGTACAGCAGGATTGCTAACAGCTCCCTCCTCACTTTGTACAACATGTCTACGCTCAGATGGCTCCTCATGGTGCAGGAAGTACACATCAGCAAGCTTATGTGTATTTGCAATTTTAATCAACTCCAACACTTCTTCATCTCCATCTATTATCCTAAATCCATCCTCCAAACTCATCCCAGGAACTAGGTAATATATCCCAGCCACAGCAATGTACCCACATTTATTTGCATATTCAAGTAATTCCCTATAACACAACAAATCAGTGTCCACCTTGAAATTCCTACCCTTACCACCCACATACACCAATTCACCATTATGTTGATGTTTGAACTCACCACCATGCCAAAACCTTATTGTAACACTATCAAAGAAACTGCTCATTGCAAACCTAAAATTACAATTACAAAGTCAACATCAAAGTCTACTATCAATACCATCACAAGCATACTATCACAAGCAATAACATCAGCATCATTAGCTAAATTCATCAATTAACCAGAACACCCCATTAGTAACCCAACTAATATGATTATGACAACATTCACAGGAATTAACATCATTCGAAAATGTGTACTAAATAGTCACATGAAATTCTTTCTAAATTCATAATTAACACCAAACAACACTTCAATTGCATCAAAATACACTCAAAATCATACGTAACTAGGCCACAATTCACAATTCAATACATGTCATTGCAATTTGACATTTTGTCAATAAGTTGGGGCAAAAAATCTTACCTTTAAACGCGCAATTAGGGGAAAAATCATCACTTTTGTACTTCTATGCACTGTAGCTTCCTTCTCCAGTTGATAGGGACGGCTCACCGCATTCAATTCCGCTGTTCAATTGTGGTAAAATGAGTGTCTTCTTTAATGGAGTAAACAGAGGAGAGAGAGTGTGAAAGGGAGGGAAATAAAATTGAAGAGGGAAAAAGAAGGTTGTTGGGAGTCATTAATGCCACGTTGGCTTCTTAGGGAGGGAATGGAAGTCAAGGCTTGACTTCCACCTGCAACCTCATTTATTAGCCGGTTACCCGTAACCTGTTCCATTTATAGAAAATAGGGGTCAAAGGTGGTTCCATTTTGAAAAAAAATTAATTGTCGTTCCATTATTGGAAGACAAGTGAAAGGTGGTATTATTCCTGGCAAATTTTCCTTTCATAATCTAGGGATTATCGATTATACACATTTTCAATTTCAAAATTTCGGGTTTATCAATTAAAATCAATTTCATAATCTAGGGTTTATCGGTTATGTGGTACAATTTGTGTTTTTGTTTCTTTTTATTATAGAAATAGTTGATTTGTTGTTTAATTTGCAATTTGGTTGTTCAATTTCATATTTTAATGCTTGATTTGTTGTTGTATGTTGCTGCTTTCTGCTTGTAATCTACTTTTATTTATGTTTTTATTATTTAAACGCCATGTATGTTGTTGCATGTTTGAATTCTGCTTGTATGTTGCTGTAATACTTTGATTATGAACTTGTATGTTGCTTCTTGTATGAACTTGAAAGAGCTTGTGCTTTATATCTATTTGATCTAAAGTATGGAGTATGCATAATGTTACTGATATGACCAAATTGAGGGTTGTATAAGGTCATATCACTAGTACAATACATTTCTAATAATTAAATATACGGAGACAGTAAGTTCAAGCTAAGAGAAATACATTTCTAATAACTGTCCTACTTTACCTAAATGTGCTGCTTGCCTTGCTGTTTATACAAAGTAACTCAAAAGAACAACAGGGCCTTGTTGCATTAATAGGCAGGGTATTGGACAACTATTACAATGTGCTACATAAATAATAATTTTAAACCATACATGTTCCTAATTTCTTAAAATCTATAATTTTTTCACATGAGAAGTATAATGTGACAGCATGATTATTAAAAAGTATGGAGTATAATAAGTGAAGATAACACAAGAAGGAATTTTGTGCTACTTGCCTCTCCGTTCAAGTGTGTGCCTCTTTCATTTTGTTTACTTGATTTTCTTGAGTTGTTTGAAATTTGGCTTCACTAGATAAACTCAGTTTAGTTAAATTTGGCTTGAATGTTTTAGGATGTCTGATTTGAATATACAAGAGTCACGTAAGCGCCCAAGGGATGATGATGATGAAATGAACTTAGTTGTGATGGTTTAGGTTTTATTATGGTAGTAGTAAGAGCATGGTATGGTAAGAAATATAGATTAAAGGAGATAACATGGAATGAATCCGAGCGTGCTAGAACAAGAGCTACATGGATGAACACTTTGAGGAATGATAGGATATGTCGAGAGAAATTACGTCTCGATATACGTTGTTTTGAGAAGCTATGTCATGTATTACAAACTAAAGGTGGGCTAAAGACCACGAGAAATGTCACGATAAAAGAAATTGTGGCTTTATTTCTTCATACCCTTGCCCATGATTTGAAAAATAGAACAATGCAAGCCCTCTTTGCACGATCCTGAGAGACTATTAGTCGTCAATTTCATGTAGTTCTTGCATCCATGTTCAAGTTAGGGAAATATTACATCAAACAAGCCGATCACACTACTAGTTATGCTGATGATAATAAATGGAAGTGGTTCGAAGGTGTTATAGGAGTTCTTGATAGAACACATATTGATATGACTGTGCCACTTGTGATCCTAACCTTCGATTCACGTATGTGCTACCTGGTTGGGAAGGTTTCGCATCGGATCCTCCTGTCCTTCGGGATGCTCTTCGTAGGCCTAATGGTCTTAAAGTGCCTAAAAGTAAGAACATATATATTTTTTTATTATTTTGTATAAAGATTGGGTTATGTGAGTTTGAATGTATAATTAAAATGTTAACATTCTCTGATTGTAGATAAGTATCTTCTTGTTGATTTAGGATATTCTAATGCCGAAGGTTTCCTAGCTCCTTACAAAGGTACTAGATACCATTTAAATTTGTGGAGAGGAAACACTCCTACAAATGAAAAGGAGCTTTTTAACTTGCGACACTCATCTGCTCGAAATACCATTGAAAGGGCATTTGGGTGGTTAAAGAAGCGTTTGAGCATTTTAAGAAATTCTAGCTTTTTTCCAAAAAAAATTCAAGTAAGAATTATCAATGCTTGCTTAATCCTACATAATTTTCTAAGGGAAGAAAACATGGAGGAAACGAGTCTTATGCAAGAGGTGGACCATGACTTGATAAATATGGAAGCAATAGATGAGGAAGAGGTAGAAGAAGACTACATTTTATCCGCCCGAACAACAAATGAGTGGAACAAATTTAGAGATGACCTTGCTTAGAAAATGTTTCAAGAATATATGGCACGAAGGGGTCAAGCTACATAGGTTTTAGTTGTAATTAGACATTTGTGTATTATTTATGGTTTGTCATAAAACTATTTATTATGTAATGAGAAATTTGTGTACTATGTATGGTTTGTCTTAAAACTAGTTTGCCTTTATTCTTGTCATAAAACGAGTTTGCCTTTCTTCTTGTCATAAAACTAGTTTTCCTTTCTTCTTGTCATAAAATTTGTTTTCCTTTCTTCTTGTCATTTTAGTTTTAGCATTAGTACAAGTCTTGATTTGATTTTTTATTTTTATTTTCTTGTCTACAGGACCTTTAAACATCATACATTATGAGGAGACCTGGGAAAGAGCCTATGGCACCTTCACAATCACAAAGAAGAAACTATACAAGTTGGAATACACAAATGGATGGTTTACTCACTAAAACATTGTTTGAGCAGATTAATGAGGGAAATAAGGGTGATGGAGAATTGAAATCGCAAGCATATCAAGCTTTAGTGGATAACGTGAGGAAACATTTGGGCATCTTAGTCACCATGGATCAAGTGAATCGGATCAAGGTTTGTAAGAAACATCATTCGGTCATCAATGATATCAAAACTTATACAAAGTTTAAGTGGGATGATAAAAAGAAGATGATAGTGATCCCCGTAGAAGACCTTCAAGCATGGCATGTATATTGTACAGTATGCATTCCGAAGTCTTCTTGATTTTGTTCCCCTTTTCTAGCTACTGTCCTTGCTTTTCTAGCTACTGTCCATGTATATTCCTGACATGCATTTGTTCTGTTCTGTGATTTTTTATTGTTTATGTTCTATGATTTTTGATTGCTGTATCTAGGATTGTTGTTCAGTGTAGCTGTATCTAGGATAGTGAAATCTGTTAGTAAATCTGTTAGTAACTCTGTACTCATATAAGTTTCTGCCTCCTGAACATAGCTGAGATCCATGACAGATAGTTTAAACACTTAACATGGCAGATAGTTATAGGGGGTAGCAGATAGTTTTGGATTATTTCTCTCTTACATAGCAGTGGTCTGATAATCTACCAAGAGCTAGACTAAGACAACACAAAAATATCATATGATGGATGCCTCTCTCTTTGCCTACTCTCGCCCTTATTTATAGCATTATTTTCTGAATTCTCATTTCTTTCTATATAGTAACCAACTATCTTTTTCCTCCAAGTACTATCAGTATCACTAAATTGCACTATCTAGAATGCCCTTCACCTTAGCCCTTAGGCCAATTCCCAACAAAAATTGAAAGATATTTTCTCCTGATGATCAATTAAAATAGCAATTAGCCTAAGAGTTAGAGCCTATCACTTAAAACATGAAACTATTGAACATTAGTTTCAGCAGCACAGTTCAGTGAGGAGGAATGGTTTATGCAAGCTTATTACCTACTCATCACAATCCTACTAATTCATAAATTTAGATATAAATGAAGTGGATATAAGTTTAGACAAGTTTTCTAGGGCTTGGTTAGGAATTTTAGGATTTATGCAATTGGCATGTTAGGAATCTTTTGTATCAATTTCTGCATTTTAATCTTATCAAGATTGCTGAATGTATGCTGCATTTTGATCTTATAATGTATGCTGCATTTTAATCTTATTAAGATTGCTGAATGTATGCTGCATTTTAATCTGGTAATATATGCTGCATTTTAATCTGATAATATATGCTGCATTTTAATATTATTAAGATTCCTGAATATATGCAGCACTGAGCCTGATCATTGTAATTGATGTCTGCGTGTTCCTGTTTTTTATGCTTTTCTAGTTCAGCGGTTTGAAATGTTGTTTAAGTATTTAGATTAATGAACTTGAAAGATGGTTCATGTACTTCCTCTGAGCAACATCTTATTCATTTTTTATGTCGATCACCTGTTCTGTTGTATTACCTTGAAGAAAGTTTTTGATTTGTTCGTCTTATAGCAGCATTAAGTATGATTACATCAGTTCTATCATTTTCTCTTCCAATCTTCTCAAAGTCTACCAAATCATATTTTTTTGCCTAACTGCTTTAATAATATGACATATTGCAGGAAAATTATAATATTATGTAATCTATGTCAACCCATTTTATACAAAAAAACAATCATAATATTATAAAAGTGTTGAAATCAATAGATGTTAAAGGCTAGCAAATGACTTATATTCAGTGAGGAGGAATGGTTTACAGCTTGCAATTATCAGTTATTTGCTCAACAAGAACAAAAGTTATGAGTTAAGTGGTTCAAAGTTACTGCTATTTTGCAATACTGCTATACTGTTGCCCTGTTACTGCTATACTTCCCTGTTATTGCAATACTTAGAATATGGCATTTGTAATCTGAATTTGTATGATCTTCTTTTGTTAACAGGAAACGCCTGCTGCATCTGCGTATCAAAACTGTAATACCCGAGATTTTAAAACCTGATTTATTATACACTTTATTTTATTAGCTTAATTAAAGTTTTGTCTCTGTTTTAACAAGAACGAATGTTTTAATCTTGAATTTTATTTTAATATTATATTATTTCAGAAGCTAATTTTAAGGAAAGTAAATTATTATTTTACAGCTTATTTCCGGTCAGTAAAATGTTTAAAGATTTGTATCAAAATATGTATTTTTACACGAGAAAATAAAATGACCAAAATACCCTTATTCATACAAGTGGACAAAACCCACCTCTTTCTGCCCCTTTTTCTTCACAATTAAGTATTGAAGGCCTTATACTTGCTGTTAATTTTATATGCCCAAATCAATCAAAGTTAATTTATTAATTTTAGCCCAATTAAGAGCTTATCCCCATGGAACAAAAGACAAAAGGCACCTCTTAATTCCCTTCTTCCTTCACGGTTAAGTTTTGAAGAGGTGAAGTCAAAATTTTTCTTCTCAATATTTGTGTTAATCACATACTACTTAAATCTTATCCTATCAGTTCACTTGTTCTCTTTTAAGTGTATAACAACAAACAAGTTATACTCCATGACCTCCTATTTGCGCAAGGCAACGCCACCACCACTACCACAATTCAATAATCTCCACCGTACCTTTGCCCTGCTCTAAGTTGCTACTCTCACGCACCGACCCAGCTCACGCAACCACCCGGTTCACACCCTTCTTCTTCCTCCTCCATTTATAGCTTGTTCTATAGAAAAAACCCACTACTCCATTTGTGCAAGTCAAAAAGAATCTAACCTCAGAGCTCAGTGAGAACGATAGAATAAAGGCTAATAGGAAGGTTATCAGACTGTAAATCGAGGTAACGGCTATTGCTAGTACCCGCAATTCCCTTTGAAATGTGTTTATAAAAGCATGATGTCATTTTTGAAAGTTATTTATATCTCTGGATTTAATGACTTGCGGGATGATGAACGTGTTTATTAATGTACTTCAGTTTAATGATTTATATGAATGATTTTATTGATAAACGTTGTTTTATTGATCTTTGGATCTTACAAAAGTATGTCATGAATCTATGAATGTCTTATGTAAAAGTTACACAACATGATAAATAACAGTGAAAGACCTAGTCCTTCTGGCAGTATATGTTTACAGGTTACTTTTCGGTCATGCATGTACCCATGGGGCATTAGCCCAACTATGTCGAGCATCTTCTCTATGTTATGGGCACCGGCCCATCGCGGAAGACGTTCCGCCATGTCATACTTGCCAGCGACTAGCATGTTAATATGAACGTTATATATATCATTATATGAATTTTATTAAATGTTTTAAGATATTCCATTCTCCCTGTTTTGTTAACTAAAATGAATTAAAATGATGTTACACTACTAGAGTAGTTTGTTACTGAGTCTTCGGCTCACCCGTTTTTATGTTTTTATGTTTTTATGTTTTAGGTACTGCTGGGGATGATGGAGACGAGTAGTAGCGAGGATTTTACTTTCAGTTATCACTTAATAGTAGTTATAGTCTTAAGTTGTTTAATTTGAATAGTAAGACTAAGCTACTTAGTAAAGTTTGAGATAAGATAGGATTTTCTATCATAAAAATTAAGAATAATGTTTGTTATAAATAGATTACTATGTTTTATAAATCAAGTTTGTTAATTAAGTATGTTTGTTGCCTTGTAAATCTCGTGAGGGATTTACGGTAGCGACGTCCCGACCGTGTTAGGTTAATTCCGCTGCTAAGATTATCTTAATAACTGAATTAGAGGTCGGGGCGTTACAAAAACAAATGCATCGAGAATTGGGATGACATTTGTACCTTGTTTGCACCTGATAGAGCAATAGGAGATGGTGCTGAGCAACATGAAGAAGCTGCTGCAGCAATGGAGAATGAAAATGATAATGCAAGTACATCAGAAACGGCTTCCGGAGATTCAAACAAAAGGTTAAAAAGGGATCGTCTTGCAGATGCTGTGAGTAGCTTTGCCCAATCTTTCAAGGAGTACGTGAGTAAATCAACAAGGCCAACTAGTCAAGAAATCTACAAGGAAGTGTCTAGTGTACTTGAAATATCTCGACACCAAGCTTTGAGGGCGGTTAAGAGATTCTTAAATGGCACATTCGAGGAATTTGACATGCTGAAAAATTTACCCGATGATCAAAAATTAGATTGGATCATTTTGTGTATTGATGAGTAGTAGTGTTGTAAGTTAAGAGATAATTAGAGTTAATTTGGAACTTAGGTATTGAAATTTAGAATTTGGAATTCCATTGTTTCCCAAACAACAACTAGAATTTGAAATTCTAGAATTGAAATTCTCTTGTTTCCCAAACAAGTATTTGAATTTGAAATCCTAAATTTGAAATTATCATATATCCCAAACAAATGATTTCAATTTGAAATGTAGAATTTCAATTTCGGAATTTGAATTTTATTATTTGAAATGAAATCCGTATATCCAAACGCAAGGTTATTTTATTTTAATATTTCTAGTATCATGATTAGGTTTATTTATATTTGATTTGACAAACGTTATTATTGTGAAATTGCTTCCAATAGTAATGTTTATTCTATTATATTTATTGATCACCATATTGCATGTTTAAAAGGAATATGTAATTGAAAATCACGCCTAATAAGATAATGTGACGATTGGTTTAGGTTCCTTTTTAATCTTGTTATTAAATCAAGTGATAACTAATATTTTAGAATTATGTGTTGCATTAATATTCAACCAATTTAGCCTAATAATAGTTTGGAGCAAATTGAATATTTTGTTTGCATCTCTTTGAGATCGCAGGAATGCTTTTCATTATAAGAATCGAGTAGAAGCCTGTACAGGCGAATGTGACTCCATGACTTTTTTCGTACCATCATCCTCGATCCTCCTTTCGTGGTTACAAGCAATATGGAGTTAGTAATCTCATGGATTATGAATGGGGTGTAACCTTCAAGGGTCAATCGTTGTTGCCTATTATTGTCCCTTTATTCGTGGTCGCCTTTTATTATCCGTGAACAGTTTACAAGTTCCTTAAAAACTTGTTGGAGGCTCCCTACTTTCCTTGTTCCTAATCGTATATGTCAAAACCCACTTCCTATGAGTGCCAAGCATATTCACAACATGCTTTAACGTAGGCGCACTTCGAACGACACCTACAGATATGCATGAAATCTATTAGAAGCATGACAAAGGCTTGGCAAATATATTAAAGCGGAAAAAGATAAAAAGATAGATTTTAAGAAAAGATTTTCTAAATAATTTATTTCTTAAGATTTGAATATCGAAAAGATATTGTTCTTTTTTATAATCTTTCTTTATCTTGTTTTCCGAAAAAGATTTTCTTTGAAAAGGATTTACTTAAAATCGTGTTTTGAGATTTAGTTAATTTAACATAATTATCTTTTAAAAACCCTACTTGGTATACAAACTAGGCTTGTATAAATAGTAGAAATCTCATTTCATAGTATTTGTGAGTTTATGCGTGAAGAAATCATTTGTTCTTTAATTGTATAAGTTTACCAAGCTTATAACTTTGTCATATTAGCTTCGGGTTTCATGCGTAGCTTGCCTATCACATATTAGTGTCATATATTTTGTATTGGTTGGGTTCTTGGGTGAGTGTGTGAATTATATTTTGCATATAGTGTGTAAGTTTCTAGTGTGAAGTTGAGAGAGTACTTTGAGAGTACGAGTGAATCTAAGTTTGGGACTTAGATTTGGTAGGATAGGGTCCTACTGTGTAGCAAGTTCAGTGTGGAACTTGTGACTAAAGGTTTGTGTATAATAGGTTGTAATTTGGGATTGCCCTATTATAGTGAAATGATTTGGTTATGGAAATCCCTTAGAAGGGTCGAGGTTTTATTTCCAGTTGGGTCCTGGAAGATTTACTCGTAAAAATCTGTGTGCATTGCAAGTTCCTTTACAGTTTATTTATATTCCGCAAAAAGTGGCTATAGGAACTCACATACAATTCACCCCCCTCTTGTAGTGTTCGTCTCAACTAACATGTTCCGTTGTGGTTCATCAAGTGTCTTTCTTTTTCTTGTTTGGTTTGTGAATTTGGTTTGGTGTTTGGTTTGTTGTTTTACAGTTTATTTTTTCCTTGTATGTTAGTTGTATTTTGGTTTTCGTTTTATAAACTCTTTGTAATATAAAATTACAAAAAAAAAGGGAATTTGATAAAAAAATTTGAGGTTATTAATAAAAACACAACTCCATTTCCACCTGAATTTGATTTTTATGGACCAGATTACGTTATTAACCATGATAAAGACGATACATATGCATGAGGTGATATTGAAGAATACCCAATTTAAACAACTAAGAGAAGAGAGAAAGGCAGAGGGAGAGCATATCGATTATGTTAATAACCATGATGGAGGATACATGCATGCAGGGGCGGACCCACGTGTAGTCATAGTGTGTCACAGGACAACCTATTATTTTATAAAAAAATTAAACACTAAATGTCAAGAAGTTCAGCTTGCAGCCTAGTGGTTTTTTTACCACCCATCACACGCGAGATGTGGGTTCAAACCCCATTACTGACATTTTTTTTCTTTTTTTTGCTTTATAACCTCACACCCAATTTTCAACATTTAGAAATTAAAACTTGGGATTCAGAACATTTCCCCCAAATTGTAAAACCCTAAGTCTTTAACTCCCCTAAATCGAAATCCCCAGACCCCACCCGCAGGCCCGTAGCCCCGCCACCGTTTACCGGCCAGTTTAAGCTCCGTACTCCGTCACTCCATTTTCTCACCGTCGCCAATATATGGTTCGTCCGTCAATGTCATTCTGTGGCTCATACTTTGTGGAAAATCAATACTTTGATGTATGTTGCTCAATTACAATCCATTGTCGCTTCTGCTGCTCACAAATTTCCCGATCTTCTTCTATGTTTTGATCTTCTCTCCGATCTCATTTCCGCCATTAATGACGAACCTAAGGTTCCATTTCTCTATTTTTTTCTCCTTTTTATCTTTTTTCTACTTGATTAGATCTATGTTGCTGCTAATTGTTCAAAATCATGGAATTTCTGCATGTTTAAGTTTGTATTGCAATCAATTTAATTATTTTTAGGTTGTTTAAGTTGAATTTTGAGAATTCTAGTTGCAAATTATACTGGCATTTGGATTGTTTTAGAGAATTATTAAGTTTTGATTGGGAATTCTTGCTTAAACTATGAATGGGCTTGATATGGATTGAATTAGGAACCTATTATGTATTTATGTTATGGCAAAGAAAATGTGAAGATGCATTGTTTTCGCTGCTGGTTATGGGTGGGCGGAGGCCGGTGCGGCACTTGACATAGTTAGCTATGGTTAAAATTATCTGGAAAGGAGATCCTAGTTCGATATACTCAAGGGCTAGTGCTCTTCAAGGGTTTCTTGCTGACCATTCACATGCAGGAGGGTGGTTTTGGTGGTGGTGTAGGAGGAGGGGGTGGTTGTTGGGGCTGGGCTGGGAAGTGGTGTTGGGCTGGGTGGGGAATTGTTTAATTAATTTTTTTTAGAAAAAAATAGACCATTCACATGCAGACACGTGTCAAGTAACCTGCTTTTTTTTATGTATTTTTTTTGCTAATCATACAAGCTTTGACTATTTTTTAATATTATATACGGTCAATAGACGATGATGGGACAACCTATTACTCAAATCCTGGATCCGCCACTGCATGCATGGGGTGATATTGAACTAAACCCAATTGGCCAATTTAAACAAGTAAGAGAATTGAGGGAGGCAGAGAGGGAGAGGGAGGGGAACTGCTTTCGAGACTTGTTTCAATATTTTCTCAATTCCATGGCAATCTGAGCAGCCTATATACCTCACTATGAACCACTCTATGAACATTGAAATTTGAGATGAAGTAGGTAATTGAAGTTTTCATTACACCTTGATTCAGTTATATTACTTGCTCAAAGCTATCTTATTATATTCATACATACAAGTATACAAGAAAAAAAAAAAAAAAAAAATTATGTGTGGCATCACAATGTCTTATAGCAAACTAATGAAAGACATTCAAGTGTTTGAGTTGTCTTGCGTCGTATGATGAATTTTGAAGGTGCATTCCTACTCAGTTCTATAATGAAATTGCAGATCATATATTTTAATAAACTTATGTTAGCAAAAAATTTGTGATGTTAATGTCATAGTGTTGCTTATACTATCCCTGGTCACCGTTTTGTGCTATCTAAAACAATTTCAATAAATTCGGCCTCTGTTTCATCCTCATACTCGTCCATTTTGTTAATCCTAGTGTTGTAAAGGTCACTATTATAGCAAACTGTACTTTTAGTTGTTGCACTATGACTATGCCACTCAGCATCGATTCTTCCCATTGAAAACAACTCTTTGCTGTCTTCGTATCCAAGCGTTGTTGCAGATGAGTTTACGACGGGACCAATGAAACATGGATTAGGGGTCCTGTGTGCATTTGCAGGAAGATAATTGAAGCTGCTTTGGCCTAAATTCACTAGCATAGTTATGCCAATGTTCGTAGCCATAACAGGATATAATGGCCTCCCAAAATCCTCTGACTTGCAATGTATTAGATGCACCAGCTCTGAGTCGGCTGTGAAGTAAACCTCCTTTTTTCTTGGATCAAATCCGCAACCAATTACCTTTCCAGTTTTAGCCCAATCTTCTTTCTCAGATTCAAATACAAGTTTCATACCTTATAAGTCAAAGATTAATCATATGTAAATCAGAAAGGTTTTATAATACCCCTGTTTCATATTTTTGACATAAACTGTGAATATCAAGTGTCTAATCGTTACAATAATATAAAACATACGGAGCACATATCATATAATTCACAACTCCTAAAGTCCTAGTAATTTTTTTTTTGCTTTTTTTTTTTAAAAAAAAACACAAAAAAACAAAAAGTCCTAAAATGTTTGATGTCTCTTGAATTCACCTAAAGTAATAGTTTGTGCAATTTTTATGTCATTTTTTACTTTTACCACAAAAAAAAAAATCAATAAATTGTTTTTTACCACCAAAACTTTTAAAATTTTTATTTTACCACAAAAAAATTCTAAAAATTGTTTATACAACATACCGTTAAGAAAAACCGTTAAATCTAACAATTTTAAAAAAAATTCTTCGATTTTCGTGCGCAAAACTGTTAATCATAGGTTTTAGGGGGCATTTTGGCCTAAAGAATCTAATTTGAGGTCAGAATTAACAAAAAGTTATTGAAAATGCCTCATTTTGCGTGTTCATGCAAATCAAGATATTTTTAAACGCGCAAAACAAGGTATTTTCAATCATTTTTTTTGTCAATTCAAACCTCAAATTGGTCCCTTTGAACCAAAATGCCCCCCTAAACATATGAAGAACATGTTTTGCGCACAAAAAAACAAGGAATTAAAAAATTCCGTTAGGTTTTTTACGTTAGGTGGTAAAAAAAATTTAATTTTTTGGTTGGTGGTAAAAATAAAAAAAATAAAAATAATAATAAAAAAAACTTTTAAGAGTTTTGGTAATAAAAAACAATTTTTGAAGTTTTTTGGTGGTAAAAGTAAAAAAAACCCACTTTTTATTTTAAATTTTGATATATATGAGTTACGTGTTTTACAAATGTAAATCTTGCAAAAAAGAAAATAATAATAATAATAATAATAATAATAATAATAATAATAATAATAATAAAAACGAGTAAGACTATAAGAACACATGGAATTATGGAAATATGTATCAAGATACCCCCAAGGTGTTACTTGGAGTTTACAATTAGATGTGTCAAGGTTCTTCCAAGGAGTAATTGCTTATTTACATAATAACACTCTTCATTTGATACTCCAATTATTCTTTTTCTTAAAATAAATGTATTTGACTTTTTACAATCTTCAAGACTCGACTTAAAATGTATACGTAATAAAATTATGAAAACTTTATGTGAATAAAATATACACGGTAAATCTAAAAATATTTGAAATGACTTTATTATCTATAACACAAATTTTTATATTTGGCTGGTCACATCTTGTGTCGAGGTTACTTATATGGATTACTTAATCTAAGGTTACATAATTGGAGTTACTTATTTAAGGGGATACTCGGTTGGTTAGGGGTTACTTATTCAGGAGTTACTCGGTTGGTCAAGAATTACTCTCACACTGAAACCGCGCTAATCGACTGAGTAAATTTAGAATAAGTAACTCATGACCAGCATAGTAATTCCTAAATATATAACCCGGCAAAATGATGAGTGTCATTTATAGCACTCATTTGATGAGTATTTAGGTTGTTTTTACCTTATTTTCATAGCTTTCTTTCTTAATGAATGCTTAGTTTTATGCATTTTCTCTTTATTCCCCTTTTCTCTCCTGTTTTGTGTTTTTATGGTTTTTCTTGTGTTTTCTTTATTTCTTCTCTTTTCGTGGCTGTAAGTATTAAAAGAGGTTTGGGTCTCGATAATGGTGATTTTCTAAGTTGGAAGATGCTTTTGGAGTAAACTCATAGCACTAGGAAAGCTCAAGATGCAAGGAGGTGGATGCTCCAAGTTCTAGCCCTTGCGCTCTCAAACCGTGCTCCCATGATGAAGTGTTGTTTAACCCGCCGTGGAGTTCATTTTAATCTTCCATGCTTAGTGTCTATCATCATCATACATCGTGCACTCGAAGACCCCTTTTGCGGACGCATTGAGCATTAAAGAAGTCGAAAGAAACCCAGAAAGGCGCGGGCGAGCACCTCCCTTGCGCGGGCGCGCAAGCCCCGTGCGAGGGCTCGCAAGCATGAGTTTTTCGGTTTCTCTCGGTCTCATTTTGTGTCGCTTATAAATATCTATTTTAAACCCTACTTTTTTTATGTAAGAAGTTTTTAGACATAATTTTGATCATTACTTTAGCTTAGTTGAGAATTTCTCTCTCTAGATCTAGGTTTAGTATTAGGAGTAGAGTTAGAGAGCGAAAGTGAGGAATTTCATTGGGATTTGATGGATTAAAGATTCAAGGTGAAAATTGTATTGAAGTTCTCTATAATCAATCAATGAGGATTTCTAACTCCATCTCATTTTATTGATTTGTTTAATTTCATGTTTGTTTGGTTTGATTTTGTTTGATCTTCATAAGTGTAATTGTTCTTCATATTTTATTGATTATTGATTTCTTGGTTGTGTTTTTATTAGATGATGATTCTTGAGTAGTTGTTTAGCTAGGGATTAGGTGAAACTGGTATGATTGATTGTGATTAATTTGGGAATTGTGTTGATTGATTGTTGAGATGAAAGTGATTAATGTAAGTTTACATATGTGTAATTCGACTATGCCTTGAGAATTATGCTAGATTGCATTGTAAATGCTAATGATACGACCAATTGATTTAGGAATTGCAATTATCGATTGGTTTAGATTGTGATTCTCTTAGTTTGTTATTCGTAGAGACATCTAGCTTAACGATTAGGAGATAGCTTTTTGATTCCAATTGATAGCTCTTATCATTAGGCTTCACAACCTTGATTGGAAGGTTCTTCCCAAGTTGTAGCAATTGTCTTGATTACTTGTCGATCCACGTTTCTAGTGTTTATTTGTTAGTTGTTAGTGTTACTTCTTAACCTTTCGACTTCGACCAAGCTTAGGCGCATAATTGAGAGCACTTAAACATAACTGTTTCTTTGGGTTCGGCCCTTGACTTACCTCTGTACTTGTATTTAGGTTTGTTAAGTGTTTATAAATTTAGTTTGACTTAGGAAGGATTAGTCAACTACTTAGTTTTTCCCCACGTCACAAAAACGCTCCAACCGAATGAGTAACCCCTAGATAAGGAATCCTTGAACAAGTAAGCCTTATAAATAATCCCGGCCATGCAATATGGCTAGCCACGAAGAAAAAGCACCGTATTTCTATAGATTAATGAGTTTGTTATTAATGGGGAAAAAAAATAAGGACCTATAAAATAGTAATTTAAATCATAGAACTAGTAACATTATTAGCGATGAATAACAACAACAACAACAACAACAATAAAAGTAATAATATAATTGGGTAGTTGGGTTGGATCATGGGAATAGAAAGATATAATATAAAAATGTAGCATATTGCGTAAAAAAAGTGTAACAAATTAAAATTAACCAAAAAATAGCTCGATTCCCTCTAGGATTTAATCCTGGGAGGATATTCTGGTTTATCTAGCCTCCATTGCTAAAGTTTTTTGTTTTTTTCTTTAAGGTCTTTCTTTGCTCTTCTCCTTTTCTCGGTTTTTCTTCTATCTCTTTTCTTCGGGTCTCAACTATGAATCTTTGTAGGGTTTTCACCTGTGTTTTTTTTTTTTTTTTTTTTTTTTTTTTTTTTTTTTTTTTACCGGTGATAAGCCCCAAATACTTTTTAATTGCTTTCAATAAATTGATCTCATCTTTATGATGAGAGTTAATCATCAATTAGACTTAAATTTATTTTTTGATCGTAAGCCAAAGATTAAAGATTTAGGGTTTCATAATCTCATAAAATATCTAAAAGACCATATGAGTATTTTCACTCAAACAACTATTCATCTGTGAATCTCAAGCTGAATTAGTGCTAACTCACATATTGTATTGTTTCGGATGAATTTTTTTATTAAGGCAGTCATTGATCGAATCTGTGACGCAACTTATTCTATGGTGATTTGTACTTGTATTAGAATCTTAGGTTTCAAAAAAAAAAATTGTTTGTAAGTGTCGTTCGACTATCAATTATTAATGAAATACGAACTTTTTTCTTCTTATAAAAAAAGTAACATTAAAAAAAAACACAGCTAACACTTACTTAAACAAGGAAGGAGTATAACTTTTTAGATATACTCTCTCCATTTTTTAATAACTACGTAATTTCATTTTGACTTTTGTACTATTCATGTAGACCACTTTGATCAATGCTTTATATACTTCCTCCAATTTTTTTTTTAGTTGCTATACTTTATTTCAAGGTCTCTTCAACAATTGTTTTAAGAGGAGAGAGATAGAGAGAAAAATAATTTGGACTCATGTGAGTAGGAGAGAGATAGAGGGAAAGAATGTCAAAAATGTAAAGTGTTGTAACTAATTAAAATTTTCCAAAATAGAAAAGTATAGCAACTAAAAAGAAACGAAAGAAGTACATAAAGTTAAATATTGTCATGTCTATAATTCTTAGATACTCCCTCCATTTTTAAATACTTGATCCATTTCTCCATGCGCGGAGTCCTAGGAGAAAGTAATAAAATAAGGAAGTAGTGGGATAGGTGGAAGAATGAAAAATTGTAAGAAGCAAAAGTAGTGGAGATAAGTGGAGGAGACAGAATAAAAAATTTTATAAACTATTATTTATGTTGGGTTAACTAGATAAGAGAAATGAATTAAATATTGTAAAATCTTTCTAAATAAGGAGATGGAACAAGTATTTAAAATCGGCTGAAAAAGTAAGGTGGAGCATGTGCTTAAAATAGAGGGAGTATGTCATACCAAATTATAGTGTCCAAACAAGTCATATCTGAATTGGATTTTTTTGGATTGATTTTGGATCAGGTTAGTGAGGTAGATATTTGACCTCTCTATAGATGACTTGTAACAATTTTTGTATACAAAGATTTGAATTATGTCATAAGAAATTATGCTTGCACATAGCATGGAGATTTAGAAGATTACACCTGCTAACACTAAGAGAATCAAAATTAGTGGTTGAAATTTTTTATTTTATTTTCTTTTTTTTTTTTA